GCTCATCCTGCTGCTCCCCAGTGCAGGGCTGGGAGCAGGACCCCTGGGCTCCCACCGGTGCCCCCCACCAGCATCCTGTCCTGCATCCCCCTGGTGATGGCACCCCTAAACCCCTCTGTGCTCTTGGTCTCTCCAGCAAAGAGTGATGATGATTCCCAGCCCCAGCATCCAGCTGCCTGTGCCCATCTTTGCTTTTCCCAGCTCAGGGAGCACCTGGAATTGCCACCCCATGGCACAGGTGCAGCACAGCCAGGGCTGGGAAGGCACCACTGGGCACACAGCCCTGTTCCCTGGGCTGGCTGTCACAGGGCTGGGCTTGCACTTTCCCAGGTGGACTTTATCCTGCAAGACAGCTGTGCCAAAGCCTGGGCTGCGCTTGTGCAGGGTGTCCTGGAGGGGATGGACACCTGGCATGAGGCAGGCAGGCAGTGACAGGGCACTGTGCTCCTCCTGCAGCATGTGGCAGGCACAGGGCACTGCCATGCCCCAGTGTCCCCAGGGGAGGCAGCCTGACCTGCAATCCAGGGCATGGGGCAAAAGCGTTGCCAGGCAGGGAGAACTTTGAGCCCTGTGCATAGTCCTGGGCCAGCAGGACAGGGCAGGCCAGCCATGGTTTCTCACCAGGCCCTTGCCCAGAGAGCTGCTCGGTGCTGGCTCTGCCCATGATGTCACAGCGGGATGGGGCCTCTCCTTGCACCTGAGGGTCTGCTCCACGGGCAGGACTTGTGGCACCATGGCCTCGCTGGGCTGCCCACAGGCATGGCCAGCCCGTCACCCTCCCAGCACTGTTCCCTCTCTCTGCAGAGCTCCAAGGCCGTGCAGGGGCTGACCGGCCTGCGGAACCTCGGCAACACGGTGAGTGTGTCCCCAGCCCTGTGGCTCACACCGGGCACATCTGTGGGGCAGGGGGAGCCCTGTCCTTTCACCTCACCCCCAACACCCCACCCTGGCAGTTCCCTGCACCCCTCTCCCCACGGCGCTGCCTGGGGAGAAGCTTCCCCTGTCCTGTGCCCAGCCCAGGTGTCCCCCTGCCACGGCCTGCCTCCCTCTGCTTCCCGTTGCCATGGTTTTCTCTTCTGCCTCCCCCAGTGCTTCATGAACTCCATCCTGCAGTGCCTGAGCAACACCAAGGAGCTGCGGGATTACTGCCTGCAGAACCAGTACCTGCGGGACCTCAACAACAACAGCCGCATGCGCACGGCGCTCATGTCAGGTAACTGCCCAGCCTGGCCCCTGCTGACTGCGGGGGCTTCCCTGCAGCAATTCCTGCAGCAATTCCTGCAGCACATCTCTGCGACACCCCACATGCTGCGGGACCCCCACCCAGAGCTCGATGCTCCTCCTTGGGCTGCCCAGCCAGTGGAGGATGAGGCTGTGAGACCCCAGAGTGTGGCCCTGAGCTGTCCCCATGGGGGCATGGCCGTGCCACCTCCTCTGCTGACCTGCCTCTCTGCCTGCAGAGTTTGCAAAGCTGATTCAGCTGCTCTGGACCTCATCCCCCAACGAGAGCGTGAGCCCCTCCGAGTTCAAGACGCAGATCCAGAGATACGCCCCACGCTTCGTCGGCTACAAGTAAGGGGGGGTGGCTGCAGGGTGGTGGGGGGAGCTGAGCCCCCTGCCGCCTCTCACTGGCCATGCCCCGTGTCTTGCAGCCAGCAGGATGCACAGGAATTCCTGCGGTTCCTGCTGGACGGGCTGCACAGCGAGGTGAACCGTGTGCTGGTGCGGCCCCGGGCCAGCACCGACACCCTGGATCACCTCCCGTAAGTGCTGGCACCGCACAAGCCCCAGAAGAGTCCACTGCCCGCAAGGCCAGCCCAGGGACAGTGACCTCACAGGTTCCTCTGGGCTGGGTGGCGGGGCTGGTGTCCCCCAGGCCATGCTCAGTGCCTGCTGTGTCCCCATCCTTGCAGTGACGACGAGAAGAGCCGGCAGATGTGGAGGAGGTACCAGGAGAGGGAGGACAGCCGCATCAGCGGTGAGCAGGGCTGGGGGAAGGGAGGACAGGGCTGGGCTGGGACTGAGGGGGAAATCAGGGCTCTCACCCTGCTCTGTCCCACCCCACCAGACCTCTTTGTTGGGCAGCTGAAGAGCTCTCTGACCTGCAGCGAGTGTGGCTACTGCTCCACGGCCTTTGACCCCTTCTGGGACCTGTCCCTGCCCATCCCCAAGGTGAGGAAGGCCCAGCCATCCCTGTCCCACACTGCCTGTCCCACGCTGCCTGTCCCTAACCATCATTGTACTCCCACAGAAAAGCTACGGGGAGGTGACGCTCATGGATTGCCTCCGGCTGTTCACCAAAGAGGACGTGCTGGATGGGGATGAGAAACCGGTATGGGGCAGGGGGCTCCCTGGGGCAGGCTGGGCCCCCTCCCCTCTGTGCTTGTCTTGCCAGGACTGTGGGCAGTGCCATCACCTTCCTGTTTGTGCTGTTTTCTCCCACAGACGTGTTGTCGCTGCAAAGCCAGGACAAGATGCACAAAAAAATTCAGCATCCAGAAGTTCCCCAAGATCCTGGTGCTTCGTATCCTTCGGGCAGAGGGAAAGGGACAGGGCTGTGGTGGTGGGCAGAGATGGGTTATTGCAGGCTCCCCTTTGTCCCTTTGGCTCCCTTGACGTGACCCTCCAGACCTGAAGCGCTTCTCCGAGGCCAGGATACGAAGCAGCAAACTCACCACCTTCGTCAACTTCCCGCTGAAGGACCTGGACCTGCGGGAATTCGCCTCGCAGAGCTGCAGTGAGTCCCAAACTCTGCATGCCTCTAATCCCAGCCCTGAGCTCCTGGGGACTCCTGGGCTCCTCGTGTGCCCAGCTGGTGGGGGGCAGAGGCGTTAGGGGTGGGAGGCATGGAATCCACGGGAGCTGCTGGCATGGTGGGGGGCTCTGTGCTGGCACTTTGCGGGGCAGCAGGGCTGAGCAGCACCCCTGCTCCCCACAGACCACGCCGTTTACAACCTCTACGCCGTCTCCAACCACTCGGGCACCACCATGGGGGGACACTACACAGCCTACTGCAAGAGCCCCGTGTCCAGCGAGTGGCACACCTTCAACGACTCCCGGTGAGCCTGGGGTGGGACAAGCGAGCAGGGACCCCCTGCTCAGGGCATCCCAACCCTGCCGCTCACAGCTGTCCCCTTGCCCTCTCTGCAGCGTCACCCCGATGTCCTCGAGCCACGTGCGCAGCAGCGATGCCTACCTGCTCTTCTACGAGCTGGCCAGCCCGTCCTCCCGCATGTAGCCAGCCCTGCCTCCCTGGGGAAGCCCTGGGCCACCCCTCAGAGCCGGCTCCGCCAGGGTTCGGGCGTTCAGCCCCCCCAGAGCAAGGGGGAGGCGAAGAGGAGACACCCCCGAGGTGGCTGCAGAGGGAGGCTGGGGACAGCCAGGAGCAGAGCCCGGGCAAGGACATCCCAGCTCCAAACTGAGGAGGGACTCGTGACAGGACAGGGCTCAGGCAGCTCAGGCGCCTTCTGATTGCTGGCATTTGGTTTTTACCTCGGGGTTTTAGTTTCTTTTTTTATTATTTTTTTCCTTTTTTTTTTTCTTCTTTTTTTCCTTTTTTTTTTTTTTTTTTTTTTTTTTTTTTTTTTTTTTTTTTTTTTTTTTTTTTTTTTTTTTTCTTTTTTTTTTTTTTTTTTTTTTTTTTTTTTTTTTTTTGGTGTGTAATAAAAATCCTGAGCAAGAGACTCTACAGGAATGGGGCCACCTGTCCCATTGACTCAACCAGGACCTCTTCTCCCCTGGGACAGCACCCAGGAGAGCCTCACACATCCCTCCTGACCTCTTGCCACTCCTGTATCTGCTTGGCCGTCCCAGAGGATCCATGAACTGCTCCCGATCTCCTCCCAGCACTTCCAAACCTCCTGGCAAAGGACTCCAGCCCTCCGTGGCCTCCGTCCTATCTCAGGCAGCACATCCCCTGCAGCTGCCCCACACACACTCCTCAAAGCAGCCTGAGCCCAGACTACGGACAGGAGGGAGGAAAACATTTTGTGGAATTTATATGTATTTATAATGGACTTCGCTTCAACCTGGAGCCCCCCGCTGCTTCCTGCCTCTCCAGGGACTTGTGCCGGGGCTGCTCCGGGTAGGTTTTTACCTGCCTCCTCATACGACGGTGCCTTAAACCATTTAGGGGAGCGGGGGGCCGCGGGGGTCACACAGAGAGGGAGGGGAGGAAGGTGGCTTTCCGGGACCATCTGCAATCGGGGCTTTTTTTCTCCCTGTGATCAGGAGCCCTCCTGGGTGCCGGGGGACCCACCCTGCTGCTCTGTCCTCCAGCTAGCAAATGCCAGTGGCCTTTTTAGCCTTTAATTTATTCTCCTCCCCGTCCTGCCTTGCCTGAGGTGCAGCGGGAGGAGACACGGGCACCATCCCAGCCCTCGAGGCAGCTCCATCCAACCCACACCCGGCCGGCTTCGCCCTCACTGCCCTGCGGGCACGGGCTGAGCGCTGGCACCAGCATCCTGCCCAGCCTGGGGCATCCCAGCGGGGCTCAGGGGGGGCAGGATGGGAAAGGGGGGCTGCCCGCGGCAGGAGCTGGGCTGGGGCAGCGATGCTGCTTGGCAGGTGGCTTGTTTACTGTGTAAGCAAGACGGGTGGGAAGTGTCTCATACAAGGGAGACTCGTGCAGGAATAAATCTGAGCTTGAACAGGGCGCTGGGTGCGTGTGTTTTGTCTCTGGGTGGTCTGGCAGGGGGTGGGGAGCTGCCGCTGGTGGAGCCCCAGGGGCACCCATGGACCAGAACAACTCAGGGCTTGCCTGGAGCAAGGGAGATGTGGCTGCAGGTGGCAGAAGGAGCATTTCCAGCCCCACGGAGCTCCCCGGTGCCCGCACTCTTCCCTCAAAACCCCTGAACAATGGCCCCTTTCTCCCCTGCTTAGGGAAGGAGACGGGCATTAAGGGGCAGCAGGAATGCAGGTGGCAGGGCCCAGGCACCCAGAGAGGGCAGGAGGGACACGCTCAGCCCGGGGTCCCCAACACGGCCCCTTCAGCGCTGCCCTGAGCAGTGAGGAGCCTGCTGGAAAACCAAGGAGCCGTGTGGGGACCCCAGCAGCGGGGTCCCTTGGGGATGGGCTCCCAGCGGGATGGGTGCGAGCACTCGTTCCCCTTTAAGACGCTGTTTCTCCGTGCCAGAGCCTGACCTCGGCATCCTCAGCTGAGCTGGATTAACGGGGCGAGGGGGAAGGGGCCTGCGGAGGGGACTGGGGCTGCTGCTGCCTCCCGGGGCTCCCCGCACTCCCGGCGCGGCGGGCATGGCCCTCGGGTGGGCTCCGGCGCTGGGCTGCCACGTGTAGAGCTGGCACTGCCACCACCCCCGCCCCGGAGCGTGGAGCAGGGGTCCCCACGCCGCCCCGGGGCCCATGGGGGCAGCTGGGGAGGAGCGGGTGGTGGCGCTGGGGGGCACAGGGCACTGGGCAGGCTTTTAGCCAGGCTGCGCCAGGAACCTCCTGCTGCCATGAAAGACTTCACCGAAATCACGCTTTGCCCCGAGGCTCTGGACGGCAGCAAGGTAGGGCTGGGGATGTGGGCGCTGCTGATGGTCCCCGCGTGTCCCCCCGCGGGTCCCCAGGGTGCCACCCCCGCTCGCTGTCCCACAGACCGAGTTCTGCAACCCCGTTTTTGAGGGCGAGGAGCCCCGAGCGGCACCGAGCGCGGAGCACCCGCCGGACAAGGATGGGACCGGCCCCGCACCGCGCCGGGACGGCCTCGGTACCAGCCTGGGGGTTTGTACACACCCCTGCCCATGGGGCTGCAGGAGCGGGGTGCTGGGGCTGCTTGGGGTCACATCGGCACCGCGGGGACGCGCCCAGCGAGGGCTGAGCCCGCCGGGCAGGGAGGTGCGGGAATGGCTTAGCAGCGCTCTGCCCGCTGTCCTCGCCTCCAGGCCAGCAGCTGTGGGCACAGGTGGGCTGGAGGTACCGCGCCGACTGCAAGTTCACCTGGCTCTGCGTGGCTCTGATGAGCGCCATCCTGCTCTTCCTCATCGCCCTCCTGCTCGGCATCGTCATCCACCGTGAGTGCGGAGCCGGGAGGTGGCTGTCACTGGGGTGGGGGACACAGAACTGCTCACGGTGGGAGGGGGGCACCCACAGCACACCCCGGGTCTGCCCCTGGGGGGAGAGGGTGACCCCATGCACAGGAGCAAGGGGGATTTCCGTGTCCGTGGGACGTGTTCCAGCAGTGCGGGATCCCCTGGGAGCTGCACACCTGTGGGTAAGGTGGGAGCACAGGGCTGGGTGGGCTTCCTGAGCCCCTTCCCTCCCCGCTGGGGCTGAGCAATCCCTGCTCTTCTCTGGGCACAGAGCTGACGTCCCCACATCCCCCCGGCACCCCGGCCACGGCCCTGCCCGCCCGCGGCACTGCCACCACCGCCACAGCACCCATCCGAAGGGACCCCCCGGCCCCCAAAACAGCTGCCACCCCAACCGAGAGCGGGCTACCCACGGCCCGCACAGCAGCACCGGGTAAGTCCCGAGTGGGGCAGCGTTTGGGGATGAGGGTGCCCTGCTCCAGCTCATGCCCACGCTGTTTTCTCGCTCAGCCTGCGGAGGGACCCTGCGGGGCCCCGAGGGCTCCTTCAGCTCCCCCAACTACCCCGGCCCCTACCCCCCCAACGCCCTCTGCATCTGGCGCATCGAGGTGAGCGCCGGCCTCGCCATCCAGCTGAGGATGGAGACGTTCAGCGTGGAGAGCACGGCCTCCTGCCTCTTCGACCGCCTGGAGCTCTACGAAGAGCCGGGCACCGGTGGCACTGCCCCTGCCCCTGCTCGGGACAGCCCGACCAGGTAGGGCTCCTCACACCTGGGGAGCGTGGCAGTGTGGGGGCAGCGAGCGGTGCCAGCCCTTGCTGTGCCCCCAGGTTTTGTGGCAACGTGCCCCCCCCGACCATCAACACCGACTCGAACCGCCTGCGGGTCACCTTCGTGTCCGACAGCAGCGTGGGCGCCCAGGGCTTCAGCGCCCGCTACCGCGCCGTGGCCCCCGCCGAGAGTGAGTGCCCCCACCCAGGGCACTGCCAGGGTCCCTCCCGGCTGGCAGGGAGTGGGGACAGCCAGCGGGGAGGGGAGGGTGCCCGGCGGAACCCCCCCTCCAGCCTGGGTGTCTGTGGCTGCGTGCAGAGAGCTGCGCCTGGGACGAGCACTTGTGTGACCGCGGGCTCTGCCTCCAGCTGGGCTTCGTGTGCGACGGCTTCCACGACTGCACGGATAGGAGCGACGAGGCCAACTGCAGCCTGAAACACAAAGGTGGGAGGGACAGACCCCCACCCGCAGCCCCCAGCCCCCCCGGCACCGGGAATGGGCCGGGAGTGGGGAGATGGAGGGAAGGGAGAGGGGCAGGGGTAAATCTGTGCGTGTGTGTCCCCCTCCAGAATGTGGGGGGCCGCTGACCGCCTTGGAGGGGCATTTGTCCACCCCGAACCACCCGCAGCCATACCCGCACCAGCAGGTGAGAGAAGGGGCGCTGTGGGAGCACGGGGAGGGTGAGGGTGGGAGGGGAGGAAGGCAACCCCGGCCCCGGGGAGAGCTGGGGGTGCCCCTGCCCAGCTTCACGGGTGTCGCCGGCTGCCCCCCCGCCCCGCAGCTGTGCCTCTGGCAGATCTCGGTGCCCCTGGGCCACGTCATCGACCTGCACTTCCACAACTTCAGCCTGGAGTCGCACGAGGACTGCAGCTTCGACTTCGTGGAGGTGCACGACAGCGCGGGCACGGGGACCGCCAGTCTCATGGGCAGGTACCCGACACCCCCGGGCCTGCTGTGCCACCCTGGCGACACAGGAGCCATGGCTTACCTGGGGAAACTGAGGCACGGGGCTGGCTGGTGGGGAGGAGCCACCAGAAGGCAGGGTTTGGGGAGGTGCTGGTCAGCCCCCTGACCCCATCTCTTGTCCCATGACCTCGGCAGGTTTTGTGGCCACCAGCTGCCACCCACCCTGACCTCCTCACGGCACGTCATGACCGTCCTCTTCGTGGCAGACGAGGGAGTTGCAGATGATGGGTTCTTTGCCACCTACCAAGCCCGCAATGCCACGGAGAGTAGGTAGCCAAGCGGGGGCACAGGCTGCCCAGGGTGGGTTGTGCCACCTCCATCGCTGGGAGGCTTCAAGGCCAGGCTGGATAAAAACCTGGGAAAAACAGCTCTTGCTCCAAAGCTGGCCCTGCTTGGAGCAAAAGGCCCTGGGGCCCCTTCTCACCTGGTTTAGTCTATAACCTTACAGCCCTGGGCATGGGACCTGGGAGGGCTCACCTGCACAGAGGCATCATCCATGACCTGAGGGCTGCCCCCAAAAAACCCAGGGAATTTGGGATTCCCTAAGCTGCATCTGCCAGATCCCCAGGACAGTGAGCAAGCCAGGGGTGGTCAGCATGGGAACACGCTGACTCCCAGCCATGCCCTGCCCTCTCCCCTTCCAGAAACCTGCAGCCCCGCGGAGTTTTCCTGTGGGAATGGCGAGTGCCGGGCGCTGGAGTCTGTGTGTGACGGCTGGCACGACTGCCCCGACGGCACTGACGAGCTGAACTGCACCGGGGTGTCCTATCCTGCCTTCGGTGAGTGCCACCACCCCTGGGTGCCCCGCCCCGAGCCCAGCTGGCCCCGGGCACACGCTGGCAGCCCTGCCGCTGGCACAAGTGAATCCCCTCTCCCTGTGGCAGGGTCTGTCTGCGAGCCCGTGGAGGTGGAGATGTGCCTGGGGCTGGGCTACAACGCCACCTCCTTCCCCAACATCTGGCTGGCCATCCCGGACCAGGAGGGAGCCGCCGAGGTGCTGCAGGACTACCAGGTGAGCTGGCCGGGGGCTGCCCGCGGGGCTGCCCTCACCCTGCCGTGCTGGGCTCACGCCGCTGTCCCCGCTGTCCCGCAGACGCTGATGGAGCTGGCGTGTTACCAGCACCTCCGCCTGCTCATCTGCAGCCTCTTCGTGCCCAAGTGCATCCCGGACGGGGGCGTGCTGCAGCCCTGCCGGGCCGTGTGCCTGGCGGCGGAGCTGCGCTGCCGGCAGTCCCTCGGCCTCCTCGGCATCCTCTGGCCCATCAACTGCAACATCCTGCCCGACTCCAGCGACCCCGTAGAGTGCTTCCAGCCCTGAGCCGGCGAGAGGAGAGCAGCAGGGGCTGAACCACCCTCCCCACCCCAAATGTCCCTCCTGTGCTCTCCCTGTTGTAAATACCCAGCTGTTGGGGTGGCCCCTCAGCTGCCCTGGGGTCAGGCCCTGTGCCCAGTGCTTGCCGTGGTGCCTGGATGCCACGGGCTTGCCCACAGCTCCATTTCCCTAGAGAGCAGGTGACATATCCCACAGGCAAAGGCTTGTGCTGGAGGGGCACGAGGGAAAGGGTTAATGCTCCTCAAACAGAGCAAGGCTGGGCAGAGGTGAGCCAGGCTGCAGGGACAGGAGCCCAGGGCTGCCCGTGTCCCACAGCCCCAAATCCAGCAGAATAAACAGCGTGAGCAGCTGACAAACCCAAAGGAGCAGGTGACTCATCTGGGGTCTGTGTGGGGGTGCTGCCAGATCCCAGGGAAACTGAGGAATGGCTGGAGGGAGGGAAGGCAGGGATGGGCAGGGATCTGAGCAGGGATGGAGGGGCACAGGGGAGACTGCAGGGGAGAGTGGGCAGCTGGCTGTGCCCTCACTGGGCAGGGGGCTTGCAGGGTCCCAGGGAGACGGATGGGTCTCACAGGGGGTCCAGCTGGTGGCTCCATGGTGTAGGGAAGGGATCCTGCACCACCAAGAGTGGAAGTAGCCCTGTTGGCTGAGCTGGCTGTGCTGGCTGAAGGCCACCCTCGTAGCCACAAGCCTGGCAACACCCATGGCCACAAACCAGTGTCCAGCTGGCCAAAAACAACAGTCCCTTCACACCTTAGGAGAGAGGTGGCTTCCTGCCAGCACCCAGCCTGACCATGGGCATCCAGGTCTGGAAGGAACATTTGGCAATGTCCCCAGCTCCACTGCAGGCTGTGGCACGGGGAGGAGAGAGTGCCATTGTGTTTCCCACTACCCTGAGCATGTGGAGAAATCCCCAGCCTGGCTGGGGTCACTGGGGTCAGGACCCACTGGTGCCAGCACCGCTCTGCCCCCCTACCCAGCACGGACCTGCCACTCCCACCCAGCTCGGGGGGTTTGAGCCCCCCAGCTCCTTCTCTCCCTTCATGTCCCAGCTGCTGCTGGGCACAGGGACATCCCCAGCCGCAGGCCCGCCCCTCTGGCCAGCGTGTGACCGTGTCCCTTGGACGCACTCGGTGCTGGAACGAGTTTAAGGCGAGCTGGGAGCGCCTCGAAAGCTTCGCCGCGTGCTCCGCGGTCCCCGGGGCCAGCCCTGCCTCCTGGCACGGGCACAGCGCTGCTCTGCCCGCCCTTCCACCTGCCCTGCACGCTCAGCCCAACGTGCTGGGACCGCCCAGATGGATCCTGCGCCTTCCCCTGTGTGCTCCCAGGGCTGGCACTGCCAGGCAGTGTGTGTTCTGCCATCCCTTTGCCTCAGCTCAGCTGCCAGTCAGGGCACACCCTGAGAGCTCCCTCTCCTTTCTGCCACTCCATCTCTCTCTGCCTTGCTGGATTTCTCCCCTCTTCACCCTTTATCTTGTTTCCTTTCCCTCTGCTGCCTGTTCTCCCTGTTTTCCTCCTCTCCACCCTGCTGCCCTGGTGCCCAGCCCTGTCCAGCTGAGGAGGTTCCCATCCTGTGCCTCCTCTCCCTCGGCCGGGCTGTTTGCAGCGCTCTCCCTTCCCCCTGCTTACAGCACTTCCGACATCATGGGATTATTTTTCTTTTTCCCCTTGTCTTGTAGCTTTTGGCTCCCAAAGCCCTTGATTTCCTTTGGAGTTTGGGAGGAGAGACGTGGGGAGGAGGGGGGGTGGAGAGGCTGCCTCTCTTAGGGCCTTCGTCAGAGCCAAGTGGCCAGGAAGAGCCTCAGCCCTTCCACAGCGGCGAGCAGCGAGGTCCCAGACAGGAGCACAGGATCACAGTGAGTGGGGATACCCAGCCGGGGCGAGCTGGGACTCCCTGGCTTCCTGGCTCCGGCTCCTGGGCGGAGGAGAGACACTTTTCTCCTCCTTTTCCTCTTTGTTGCCGTCGTGGAGGGGGAAGAGAGCAGCTCCTCTGGGTCAAGGCCACGGGGAGGGGGCCAGCGCTGGCCCTGGGGCTCAGCCCTCGCTGTGCTGCTGTGGGAAGGGCTGGGGGCAGCCCGGGCAGGGGGGTGGTCCCGGCAGCGGGGGGTGGTCCGGCGCGGCCGGGGATGCTGCAGCCGGCCGGGGGTGGAGCGGAGCCGCCGGCAGCCGGGATGCTGCCAAGGGCAGGGCCACGACACGGCCCCGCGTTCTCCGGGCTGCCGCCCCACCACGCAGCCCCCAGAGGCAACAACCCCACCCCAGGCTCAGCAGCCCCCAGCCCCAAATCCCCCTGCCCGTTCCCCGCCATAGCTGGGCACGATGGGGCAGTGCCCACCCCAAAGAGCCCCCAGCCTCACACACAAAGCCACTGCCACAGCTCCTGCCCTACACCCACACCCCACACACGTCCTGAGCTGTCCCGGGGCTGCAGGGTGCTGTGGTGGCACACGGGATGCTGTGGCAGGTGCAGGCAGCACCGGGGCCTCGCTGAGAGGAGCAGCCCAAAAGGTAAAGGGAAAAGAAGGGGGGGAATGTCCCCTGCTGACCCCCCACACTCCCTGTCAGGCACCCACAACCCTCTTCAGTGTGGTCCCCAGAGCTGTGATCCTTCTCTGCCCCGCCTCCAGGACAAGATGAAGCAGCTCTTCCTGCTCTTCCTCCTCGGGCTCATCACCGGCTCCTTGCAGATCGAAGACAACAAGATCCCTGGGCTGTGCTCAGGGCAGCCGGGCATCCCGGGGACCCCGGGTCTGCACGGGGGCCAGGGTTTGCCAGGCAGAGATGGACGAGATGGCCGTGATGGAGCCATGGGGATGCCAGGGGAGAAGGGCGAGATGGGCCCTCCTGGTAAGAAAGGAGAGATCCCAGCTGGGGAGGGGGATTTGCCATTCCCTGCCCGTGGGGAGCACCCTCATGCCAGGGGGTGAGTCCTGCATGCTGGCACAAATTGCCAAACAGAGAATGAATCCTGCAGAAGTGCCCCTCCCATGCCACCACCACCCCTTGGCCCTGCCTGCCGTGCCCCTGTGTTCTGCAAAAGGCAGCAGCTCCCTGTCACTGGTGAAGCTGCATTTGTCCTCATCCCAAATGCCACCCCACCCTTCCAGCCCTGCTTTAGGAAGGACCACCAGGAATTGTATAATCCCTGCCCTGGCTCCTGGGCTGGGCTTTCCCCCAGCCTGTGAGGGTTTCTCCAAAGATTTGTTGATGCTGAGCTGATTACACACCCATCCCTCCCCACTCGTGCTGCTTCCCCACACAGTGCCTGGCTGTGGCAGGGAACTGGTGCAACTGGGACTGGGCAGGAGGGGTGGAGGAGCTGTGTTGGTGACTTAGAGGTGACCCTGCCCCTCCTGCCTACCCCAGGAGTGCCCGGTCCCCGAGGGGAGGTGGGCAGCCCCGGCGTGGACGGGCTGCACGGCGAGAAGGGCGCTCAGGGCGAGTGCGCCGTGGCTCCTCGCTCCGCCTTCAGCGCCAAGCGCTCCGAGTCCCGCAGCCCTCCCCTGGCCGACCAGCCCATCCTCTTCGACGTGGTGCTCATCAACGAGCAGGGCCACTACGACCCGGCCACGGGCAAGTTCACCTGCGAGGTGCCCGGCCTGTACTACTTCGCCGTGCACGCCACCGTGTACCGCACCAGCCTGCAGTTCGACATCATGAAGAACGGCCACTCCATCGCCTCCTTCTTCCAGTACTACGGCAACTGGCCCAAGCCCACCTCGCTCTCTGGGGGCACCCTGGTCCGCCTGGAGCCCGAGGATGAGGTGTGGGTGCAGGTAGGGGTGGGGGACTACATCGGCTTCTACGCCAGCGTCAAGACGGACAGCACCTTCACCGGCTTCCTCGTCTACTCCTACTGGCAAAACTCCGCCGTGTTCGCCTGAGCCAGCCCTCGGCTGCGGGTGGGGCCGGGCAGGTGCCCCTTCCCAGCCCCCAGCGCGGTGGGAGCCGGGGCAGCGCGACCCCTGCCCCGTGCGGGGCACAGAAACGCTCCCTGTGCCATCGCGGGGGTGACGGAGCCCCCCTGGAGTAGCGCTGGGTCAGAGCTCGCTGTTATTTCGGCCACCCCCAGGGCAGGGCAAGCCGGGTTGAGTGGCCAGGAGCCCGTCCCGGGGGTCCTGCCCCATCCCTCCCCTCAATAAAGGGCTGCTCAGCTCCGCGTGTGCCGCCTGCCTGCGCGCCCCTGCGTGCCGCGGGACCCCCGAGGGCGGAGGGGGCTGCGCAGCCCTGCCTGGGGGCTCCGGGCCGGGACCACCGTGTCGGGATGTCCCCGCAGGGCCAGCGGGAGCCGCTAGATGGTGGCATCGGCGTCCTCGAGTCGTGAGCGCAGCGCTGCGACCGCCCCCGGCACCTCCCCAAGGCTCGGGAGCACCCCCGGGGTCCCCCCGAGGACCGAGTCCGGCCGGATGGGAGGGTCCCCATGCTGCCAGGGCCACCCCGGGGGGAGCGGAGCCGCGGGTCCGGGGCTGGCCCGTCAGTCCCCGAACGGGGCTGGCCGAGCCCCCCGCCCCAGTGTGAAAGCGGTGACCCGCCGCTGGGAAAGGTCGCTATTTTTAGCAGGGGAATGAAGAGCTTCCTCATTCCTTGCCCAAAATAGGTCCCTGAGGGGATCGGCCGGGGAGGGGGCTCTTGGCCAGCGGCCGAACCCCTTAATGGGCTTGGGACGCTGCCCTGCCCGGCTGTAGGGTGCCAGCTGGGACCGGCTCTTCTGACCGTGCCAGCGGGACCTTGCAGCGTTCCCCAGCCCGGGAACCCCGAACACAGCCGGACAGCCACCCCTCCTCTGCCCCGGATCCCCCACTGCCCCCCATGTGTGCCGGATGGGCCCCCAGGAGTACAGCTGTGCCCGTCGGGATGAGCGAACCCCGTGTCCCTGCTCACCGGGGGCTGCAGCAGGATGGCACCAGCCGTGGGGACACCGTGTGCCACCGAACAGGGCCAGCGCCACCCCACTGCAGCACTGAGGACCACGGGCACATCACTGCAACCTGCCCGGGCCACCCCCAGCCCGTGGGGACGTGTGGAGGTGCTGGGGGACACCTCGTGCCCCTTTGGGGGGCAGAGGGGCTCCGCTGCAGCCTCCCCGCGGCCCCTCGGGCAGCGCCGGGGGCGGGTGTCAGCGGAAACCTGTTTGGGTTGGAGATGGCTTTTTCTGTAAGCAGAGCTGCTCAGGGGGCAAACGACACCGCCGCAGAGCAGATCGATGGCTGTTCTGGGAGGAGGAAAGCGAATTTCTGGACGAGGGGGGTGGGGGCTGGGAGCATTCACTGGTTCCTGGCACGATGTGGGGGAGCGGGCTCAGCACAGGCAGCCACGGCAGCTCCTGGGCTCTGCTTCCTTTGGGATGCTCTTGGCTGTGTGGACACTGTCTGGGATCAGGGGAACCCCTGTGAGAATGTGAGGGTGCCTGCTGCTGCCTAGGGAGGATGAGGAAGAGGGCAAGGAAAGGAAAAGGAAAAAGGAAGGAGAGCCACAGGAGACTTTGACAAGTTCCTAGTAAGCTCCAGGTGCTTTAGATGAGCTCTGCCAGCTTCCCTGAGTTAGGAGAGCTTGGAGACCCTGCTCCAGCAGAGCCCAGGCTAGGGAGGGACCAGCATCCCTCAGCCAGGGCAAGAGAGGAGCCTATAAAAGAGCCAGGCTGAGCCCACAGGTGCTGAGTGCAGCTCACAGAGGCAGCAGTTAGGTCGTTTTGTCGTTTCTTTTGAGGTTTTTGTGGTTGCTTTGTGGGTTTTTAGAAACAAAAATAAATGTCAGCACCTCTTTTCAGAGCAGTACTCGTGTCCTTGGCACTCCAAGGTCACCTGAGGAGGTCAGCAGGCACCAGAGATTAAAGAGATCAACTGGGCCATGTCTGAGGCCCTACAGCTGCACAGGGCTTATGGTGTCAGAGTGTGGAAATGCCCCAGAGGTGAAGGGTGGCCTGGTGACTCCTGGCAGCAGCAGGATGGCTCCTGCTCCACCCAAAAGTTTGGTTATGGCCCAGGTTCAGAGGCCCCATGGCTGCTGAGGCACAGGGAACACTCCCAGACATCTTCAGGACTGCTGACCTGGTAAGGAGACCTTTAACCTGGGCATGGCAGGGGAGGGGACAATCCTTGCTCACGTGGGGGCGGGGTGGGCAAGAAAAGGACCACAAGCCTGGATTTCAGGAGAGCAGACACTGGCTCCTTCAGGGATGTCCTTGGGAGAATCCCATGGCCTGGAGAGGATCAGCTCCTCCAAACTCAGGTCCATCCCCACGAGCAGGGCTGAGAAGTGCTGATCAAACCCTGCCATGGGCTGCTCAGAGGGGCAGCAGAGTCTCCCCCCACGGAGACACCGGGAACCCTGCTGTCCCCAGAACCGAGCAAGCTGCTCTGGGCTGGGTGACCTCGGTGTCCCCGAGGCTGCGAGGCACCGCGGTCGGGGAGCTGCTGAGGCTCCCCGTGCTGGCTCGCTAATGAGAGCCCAAGCTGGTGCCGGCAGCAGCCCGAAGGCTCCCCGCGGTTCTGCTGCAGATCCTCACCTGCTCCCTCCCTGCCGGCCGGGTATCATTCCCGCTCCTGCTGCGCCGCATCTGCGCTCCCCGCCGGCAGGCAGACCGTGCCTCTTGTCCCCAGGCTGTGGCGAGAGGCTCATTAGGGAGGGGGAGTTGCAGCTGGGCTGACAAAGGGATTTTTCCCAACGCCTGGGGGCTCCTGCTTTCAGCGGGCTGCCAGAGCCCACCACCCCGGTGCTGCTAAACTGGGCAGCATCGCGCTGCTCTCTCCTTGGGGAAGGGTCTGGGCACTTTGATGAGCTGAGAGCAGCCTGCTTGGCTCGTGTGGGAGCCTCCCAAGCACGTTCTGCAGCAGGAACACCCCGAGGAGTCCAAATCTTCTGTCCTGGAGTGGCCCAGGCTGTGCAGCCCTGCACCAAACCCGAAGTGCCGGGGCGGGCAGGGCTCACCGAGCTTGTCCATTAGCACGGAGGTGGTTGCATTTTCCTCCTGCAACTGCGGGCTGCTTGAGCAGAGATTGAGCCAAGTGTGTGCACGATGGCTCCCGGGGGAGGGCCGTGTCCTGCACATCCTGTCCTCTCTGGGAAAGCTCGGCTGCAGTGGCCTGAGGTGGCCGAGCGCCCTTCCCATCCCCTGCCGGGGCTGCCTGGGCAGGGCAGGGCAGACATTCCCTGCCGATCCCACCCTCCTGCCCCTTCTGCAGCCTCCCCAGGTGCCCAGCCAGCCTCAGGTCACACCCTAGGAGCCTGAGAAGTGCCTCAGTTTACCCAGTTATCTGCCAGCACTGCCCTCCTGCCTGTGCCTGAGCAGATATCTGCCTCTTTCTGGCCTCCCAGCAGCTCCCATCTCCCCTCTCTTGGTTTCCATCCTGATTAAAATGAGCCACTTTGCTGGCATGGCCCTGCCAGGGCAGGGCAAGCCAGGACTCCTGGAGTCTCTGCCCATCAGGGTCCTGAGCCATTTTTCCAAACAATTTATGAGGATGCTGGGGAAGCAGAGAGTGCTTAAAAGCACAAAGCAACCTGCCAGGAGCTCAGCTCCGAGCCAAGGAGCAGCTCCTTGTGCAGCAAATGCATCTGCTCAGTAACCCTGAGCCTGCCACAGCCTTTCTGCAAGGCAAGACCCAGCCCCGTGCTGCCCCCATCCCAGGGACAGTGAACATGTCCCATTCTGCCAGCCTGGAACACACTGGGAGACCCCAGCCCCTCCTCCCTGTCCCCTGGTGTGGTGTATTCACAACCATCTCCTCTCACTGTGGGTGGGCAGAGCAGGAGTTGGGGGCTGCCAGCTCTAAAAGCCCACCCAGAGTGGGTTTGGGTGTGAATTCACCTCCTGGGTGCTGGATTTTCCCTGGCTCCAGGCTATCCCACAGCACTGCTTTTCTGGAGGCAAACACCCCCGAGCCCGCAGGTGATGTTGAGTCTTTGTGGGGAGTGATGGGCTTTCCATGGAGCCCAGGGCTGGATAAAGGAGGCACAAACACTCATTTCCCCCAAAAAATCCTTCCCAAGAATGAGGCAGCGCCCAGCTTTTGGTAAAGGAGATTTTAATCTGCTCAGTATCTAGTCCATAGTGCAAAGAGTTAAACTTAAGGCAAAGCCTTCTCTTATAAACAGCAAACAGGCCCTAAACAAACAAGCGTGACTGCTATCATCATAATAATCATAGTAACAAAAAAAGGGGTTAAGGGAACAAACTGCACTTTTGGGGAGGTGTCCTTTCCCCCCCAGCCTGTAACTCACGTAGGGAACGTTGCACCCCCTGATCCATGAGCTGGTCCCAAGGGAATGCTGCTGCCTGTGGCAGGGCCACAATCCCACTCCTGAGTGACTCCAGCTGCAGCTCCCTGACTGCCCTGCAAGTGCCTGGGACAGGCCAGAGCCTGGGCTCACACTCCTCTGCTGAGGGTTTGGCTGCTCCCAAGTGTTGGTGGCTGGAGAGAGCCAGCCTGAACAAGGGAGGTGTGTGGGGAGGCACAGGGACAAGAGCTTGAGCAACGGGGAGCTTTGCATCTCCTTGAAGTGGAGTGGAGGCAGCTGAGAGCCCTTCTAACACCCATCAGTGCTCAAAAGCCTGGCTTGGCCAGGAATCCTTCCAGCTCCCAGGAAATGTGGGAGCAACCAGCCCTGGCAGTGCCTTTCTGAGCAAAGCCACTCAACAAGAAGATAGTTCCTTGCTAGAGCTCAGCTTTACAGCTCAGAGGCATCTCCCAGCACAGCCTGGCCTCTCTGCTGCCTCTGTTTTGGCTTAAATTGCTAATCAAGAAGGAAAACAGAAGGAAAAGCATGCCAGCTGCCCTCAGGCTCTTGGCTTGCAGTCCAGAGTCAAGACTCTCTCCGGTCTGGCTCCAGCCAAAATTGGCTGTGGCGTGTGGCTGACCTCAGACAAGCAGCTGGAAAAGGAAAAGCTTTTTAGTGCAAGGCCCTCTTGCAGCCCAGCAATTTCTTGGAATGGTGTTGGATGCCCAAGCTGGGATGAGCCATCTCAGCCCTGCCCCAGCCAGGATGGGATGCACTCCTTGGACTTCAGGGGACACTTCTGAATGGAAGTGGCTACATTGGTGACAGACAAGACAAAACAAAGGTACAGCCCTGCCCTAACCCAAGATATCCGTGGTCCTGGTACTGCTCTATGCACACAACTGCAGATCCACAGCACGGATGTGCAGAAACTGTGCCTGGAGCTGGAATGTCTGTGAGCTCCCAGGAGCTTTGGGGTGCTCCCTCTCCTCCCAAGGAGTTCCTCCCTCTAGCCAGCCCAGCCTGGGAAGGAGCCAGCAAGCTCTGGAGCGACCCTCCCTGCTCCATGGCACTCTTAGCCTGCAAATGTGTGGGTTTTGGAGAGGATTCTCCAGCCTTGGCTCAAATCTGGGCTGCTGCTGCTGCCAGGGCTGGGAGCACTGGCTGGGGGGCCACTCCTGAGTTCCCCAAGCAGCACCACCAGCCCTGCAGAGGGACTGATCCCTCCAGTCTCTCCGTGCAGGTAGCCTGATGTGTGCTCGCTAGTCTTGCATAGGTGATGCGTGGAAGCAGCAGCAGCAGCACTGAGCTCTGCAGGGAGCTGAGCCCATCACAGCTCCACGCTGTCCTGGCAAGAGAGATCCCTCAAAAAGCAAAGCCCTGGGGTGATGAAGTACCCCAGAAACCCTGTTCTCCAGCTGAGAGCCAGGTTCAGCAAACACTAAAAAACTCGAGTGTGCTCCTGGCTCTCCCTGGGCCTTGCAAACAGGGCACTCCTCCCTTTTCCCATGGAGCTCCTCCACTTTGATGGTGGCAGGAGGAAACAGGCCTGGATGCAGCCTGCCAGGTAATTTTCTAGTGAGACCCTGGGAAAAAAACCTCCCTTGCCTTGCACCAGCCCCTGTGATTGCCAGGAGGGCACAGCCTGTAACCTTCCATCAGCTTTGGCTAGGAGGGACCAGAGCATTTTTCTGCGCTCTGCTTTGGATCTCAGGCTGCAGGCTGAAGGCAACGGGCCCTGAAACAGCAAAAGTTGTCAACAAAAAACCAGGTAACTCTTCCAGCCCGCTGCAGAGATCAGTATTGTGCTTGCTAGCAAGAGCTACAACCTAGTTAGGCAGCAAATGTGACCAGCAGACAGCCCACAGCGTTCTGCCCTTCCAGCACCATCCACAGTTCTTTGGAAGCTGCTCAAGGCAGCCCTGGGAAGTGCAGACAGGGGTGCCTTTGACCTCCTGGGAAAACAGCCCAAGCCCCCCGTGGGCTCACAGGTACACGTTGAGGGTCTGCAGGATCACCTGGCGGCACAGGGGGCAGTTGCGCTGGTAGATGTCCTGCTGCAGGAGCACCTCCGTGCACTCCTGGCACAGGCACAGGTGCCTGCAGGGCAGCAGCAGGACTGTCTTGGTCTGGTCCTGGCAGATGACGCATTTCTTACGCTCCTCTTGCTCTTTCAGCAGCACCCAGGGGTCGTTGTCAGCTCCCTCAGCGCTCCCGGCTGTCGCGTCCAGCTGCCGCTTCCTCGGGGCTTTCCACCACGACGTGCCCGGCTCCTCCCTGGATGTCTGGGGACGCTGCCCTGCCCCAGCACGGCTCAGAGCAGGCCGTGGCTGCGGCCCCTGCTCTGCATCCAGCTGCTCCTCCAGCTCGGCCAGCAGCTGGCCCAGTGTCACCCTGTCGGCGGCCGGAGCTCTGGGAGCACCCACGGCCCGTCGCTGGTCGCTGCCCTGGTTCCCCACCCTGCCTCCCTGGCTCCAGTTGGTCACCTGCTGGATCCAGTCCACCAGCCTGCGCCAGGGCTGCGAGGTCACGGCCACCCCCAGGGTGAGCACGGCCACCTGGTAGAGCCGCCAGACGTCCCGCTGCAGGCGGCGGAAGGAGGGCAGCGCGTGCAAGTAGCCCAGCAGGTAGCCCGTCAGCGTCCACAGCAGCCCGGGGTTGAAGGCGAAGGCGCTGACCAGCACGATGAGCAGCAGCAAGCCCAGGCCATAGACGTTGACGAAGAAGACGCTGATGAAGAGGTCGGCGGCGCAGCAGAGCAGCTCGAAGGCCATCTGGCAGGGCGACCACAGCAGGATGGACACGGCGATGGCGCCGCTGGACACGTGCGCCAGGAACGCCGCCAGCAGCTCGGCCACCCTCACCACGGGCCCGGCCAGCGAGTCCCAGAGGGCGGCGAGCAGCGTGAAGAGGTTCTGCGTGCCGATGAGACACACGTTGACCAGGCTGTTGACCAGGTACATCAGCAGGCTGGTGCCGATGGCCAGCGCCTCGCACAGCTGCCGGCCCAGCGCCTGCCCGCAGCCCAGCACGGCGCCCAGCCCTCGCTGCGCCAGCTCCCGGCCCCGCAGCGCCACGTGCGACGCCAGGTGCGACACCAGGTGCCCGGCCGCCCTCATGCCCTCCATGGCCCCGCAGCAGCCGCGCACCAGCACCAGCGCATCCCAGCACGCCACCGCCGCGGCGGCCGCGGCCGCGGGCAGGCTGGAGGCCGCGGCCAGCAGCCACAGCAGGGCGGACACCAGCGAGGACACCAGGAAGAAGTTGAGGTCGAGCACCAGCAGCAGCAGGTCGAGCAGCAGGCGCAGCCCGCGGAGCAGCGCGAACAGCACGTCCATGGTCCCCGCGGGGCCGTACGGCAGCTCAGCCGCGGGGCCCCTCCGCCATGGGCGCAGCCATCTTGGCACCCGCCGCCGTGCGCCGCGCGGCCAATCAGCGGCGGGGGCTCCGCCCGGACTCGCCGCCCATTGGTCGGTTCGCAGGATGCGGCGGGGGCGCGGCTTCCAGCAGGGGGGCGAGCTTGGCCACGCCCACTGCCGTTCATTTAAAGGGCCAGTAGCGCCCGTTGGCCCGGACCGTTCGCTCCTCCGCTCGCGACGTCGGTTTTTGCAGTTTTTTTAACTGCGGAATGAAGACTGTCGCTGTAACTCCTGATCTGTTTGTGGAAGTGGATCCCCCTGATCGCTACATAAGGAGGAAAAGCTCACAGGGACACTTTCCAAATCCCGGATTGATCCAACCCAGTCCAGCCTGGCCTTGCGCTCTCCCGGGGATGGGACAGGCACAGCGTCCCTGGGCAACCTGTGCCAGGCCCTCCCCACCCTCACAGGGAGGAATTGCTGCCCAATATCCCATGTAACCCTGCCCCCTGTTAGTGGGAAGCCATTCCCCATGTCCCACCAGTCCCAGAGAGGGCACAGGGATGCCCAGGGGATGCAGCAGCTCTGCTCTGGAGACAGGCTGGGAGAGCAGGGGGTGTCCAGCTTGGAGAAGAGAAGGAAGAGGGGACCTAGGAGCCCCTTCCAGTGTCTAAAGGAGCTCCAGGAGAGCTGGAGAGGGGGTTTGCACAAGGGATGGAGTGGTGGGATGGGGTTCAGGAGCCAGGACAGGGCAGGCACAGTGCGCAGGATGGGCAGGGCTTGAAGCCAGCCCCTGGTTCCAAACAGCACAGGGGGATCCCAACACCCGCAGTGGCCATGCATGAGAGGGGCGTGTGCCAGCCTGAGCCCTGGCACAGGGAAGGTGTGCACTTGCCAGCAGGATCCCCTGGGCCTGTTTGGGACAGAGTCAGCCCAGGGTCACCCGGCCAAGCAGTTTCCTGCAGGAGGTTTGAGCATAAAGCCATGGCCATGGCTCAGACCAAGGTTACAGCCCTGGAGCAGGTCCTGCCCTCCCTGCTGGATCCCAGCCAGGGCGTGGGGCTGTCAGAGCCTTGGCTCTGCCGTGCCCCAGGGGATGGTCCAGCCCTGCTGCCCTGAAGCTGATGACAAGTTCAGGAAAACGCAGCTCTGAAGCCCGAGGCTTTTTAAGGAAGGAGAGGGCGAGCGCAGCGCTGATGACCCAGGACAAAGCCATGTGCAGCCCAGGGGGCTGCGGCCGGCGTGGGGCCGAGGAGGGAAGCACCACACCCCGGGCAGCGAGGCACGAACCCCACAGGGAGCGGGGGTCCCCTTCCTGCAGGTGATTCCCTGAGCAGGGCAGGGGCCGGGGTGGCACATCCCTGTCTGTCTGTCCGTCCGTGCCTGGGCTCTGTGGCGCTGTCTGTCCCCGCCAGCCCTGTCGGCAGCGGGCGCCTGCCTCCCCAGGGAGCGCACGCCCGTGACGGAGTCAGGATGCTTTCAGCATTTATGGTAATGTTTGGATTTCTCATCGCTCTCCCAAACAGGAGAAGGGAAAAGAGAGCCGAGCCAAGGGCTGGGCGTGCTCCGCTCGTTCCCTGCCTCCGGCTGTGCACCTGCCTCACCCTCCCCGCTCCTGCTGCCCGCCCATGCCCTGCCGTGCCCGGGGCACCCTGGTGGGCTCCCCACCGCCCATGGGCCGGGGGGGACAGCGGCTGCAGCGTTCAGAGCTCGTGGCTCCCGAGCAGGGCTTCTCCGTGCCCCGCGGGATGCAGGGGAGCCCTGCCCGCTCTCATTTCGGGAGGATGTCCAGCTCCAGGGCGTCCAGAGCTGCAGGAGAGAGGCACGGGGGCAAGGAAAGTGCAGGGGGCTGGGGACACCTGGCAGCAGTTGGGGCTGGGACAGTGATTCAGCTGGAACAGAGCGGGGCTTTGGATGGAAACCCTTCCCGTGGCTCTGCGGGAACACAGAGCTCCCCAGCACGGTGCCTGGCAGCCAGGCTGGGGGTGGCACCCCTCCTCACAAGGACAGTCCCCGCTGTCGATGCCCTTGCTGGAGGTCTGGGATGCCCCCCCAGCCGTGCCCGTGGAGCTGCTGGCAGCGCACGGGGTGTGCCCCCCTTGTGAGCCCCCTCCCCTGCTCAGCCTCACTGGGCACGGAGCTCTGCTGCCATCGGGGACCACCAGAGCCCCCCCTGAGCGTGCCCAGCCAGCACGAGTGTGGCTCCCTGTGGCAGCCCTGCCCTCCTGAGCTGGCACCGAGCCCGGCCGCGGGGCTGCTGCATCGCGGCTCCATCGCCGAGCTGCCCTCCCGCTGCTGAGCTCACCCCGCGCTCCCGAAAAACAGCAGCCAGAGGACGCCAGCTCCAGGGCTGCCTCAGCCATCGCGAGTCCTCCTGGATTCGCCTAAAAGCAAAACAGCTCCAGGGCTGCGTGTCCCGGTGCTTGAGGGATCCTCTGGAGCCGGGGGGGATTCCCTTCTCCTGCCTCCCTTGCTCCTTGGGCACATCTCCAGGGAATTTCTGGAGTGTGGGTCCTGCTGGCATCACTCCAGCGCTCCCAGTGTGCTCCTAGTGTGCTCCCAGTCCGCTCCCAGTGCTCCCAGTGCGCTCCCAGTGCTCCCAGTATGCTCCCAGTGTTCCCAGTGCACCCAGTGCACTCCCAGTGTGCTCCCAGTGCACTCCCAGCGCTCCCAGTGCACTCCCAATGTGCTCCCAGCGCTCCCAGTGCACTCCCAGTGTTCTCCCACTGTGCTCCCAGTGCGCTCCCAGTACTCCCAGTGTACACCCAGTGCACTCCCAGTGCATTCCCAGCTGCCTGAGCAGCAGGGACCATGCCCAGGGTGCCCTCCCCTGCAGGTGCAGGGCGTGTGGCAGCCCCGAGAGCCGGGCCAGAGCAGGCAGCACGGTCCTGCCGGGCTCTGCCTCACCTCGGGTGCCCCCAGAACACCCCTGCCCAGCGCTGGCAGCCCGAGGCGGGCTCCTGCAGCCCCGTGCTCGCAGCCCAGGCGGGAACAATGGCTCATTTCGCTGCATCCGCTCCGGAAAATCCCCCGGCCCCTCTCGGGCTCCGCTCCAGGATGCTGTGGCTCACTCTTCCTCTGGCCTTGGAGGGGCAGCTGAAGGATCTCCCACAGCACGTACCCCGCGGGCAGGGAACACCCCGAGGCTGCTGGGGAGAGCCTTCAGGAAGGATCTGGAGCTGCAGGGAGCCCGGCCCTGCGTGCCCAGCAGCCACAACCTTCCCTCACCTTGCTCACCCTGCAGCCCTGTGCAAGAGCAGGAGCGCGAGGGCTGCTCGCCGTGTTTCTGGAGGGCTCTGTGTCTCCCCACGACAGAAGCTGGGATATCTATCTCCTCCTGGAGCCTGGCCAGACAGCCCTGGGAAAGGCAAGTCTGCTTCCATGGGAAAGTCGTGCAAGAAGAAATCGCTCTTTGGCCAGCCCAGCCCCACCGTTCCCCAGGGCCCTGGTGGGACTGTGCCCTGCTTGCTGCCTTATCCCACTCATTCCTTGGTTGCCCCCATCCCTCTCCACAGGAAACCTTTCCCATGGCTCTCCAAAGGGATCCCCTGCAAGGGGGGCTCCCCCAAAGCTGGGCCTGCCCGGGGCTAATCTCTCATTAGTCATTCTCGCAGATGATCCTAATGAGCCATCCTGGGGGAGCCCTGCAGACAAAGCCGGGAGGAAGAGATCCCTGCAGGCAAGCCCAGGGAGTGATGCTGTGTCCCCATCCCGGCTCCTCCTCCCTTCCTTGGCAGCAGGGAGCCGGAAAAGCCGGGTGACAGGAGCACAGGGCAGGGCTGTTCCCCCTGCCCGCTCCTCCGGGCAGCCGGTGGCGTTGGCAAGTGCTGGATGAGCGTGGCCAGGACCCCACAGCCAGACCCCACAGCTGGCCCATCATCTGCCCCATTGTGCGCGGAGTGCCCAGCCCTGCCCCGGCCGGCGCCAGCACAATGGGGCCATTTTCCGGCCGGCGCTGAGGGAGATGGACTCGGAAGTGCTCCCAAGGAAAAGGGCGGTTTATAAATAGCTCCTGCCTTCCCCCGGCCGCCCCATCAGCGCCCATCCCCAAATCCTGCCCCTCGCTCCGTGCCCGCAGTGCTCCCAGGCTGGGACGTGACGGGCCCGGCTGAACGTGTGTGAGCTGGGCAGGACGTGGCTGTCACACCCTGTCCCAGGGCTGCACCTGCTCCGGGCCCTGCGGCTCCTGTGCCCCAGGATGAGCCGTGACAGCCCTGGGCAGAGGGCTCCTTCTCCCTGAGAGCCTTGGCAGTGGCTCTCAGCTGGATAAGGTTCTCCCAGGCGTGCTCCAGCTGTCCTTGTCCATCCACCCTGCACGCAGCTCTCGAGGCAGGGAGCTAGGGAAGCTCCACAGCCTTCCCTGTGTACCACAAACCAGTCCTCAAAGCTAATCCTGGAGCCCTGGGGTGCTGCTTGTGTCCTCTGTCAGCAGCACCATCACCAGGGCAGGATGCTGAGCTCTCTGCGTTGGGCTGGGTGACCCTTGCCAGCTCAGCTCCTTTTTGGGGCTTTGCCACTGCTCTGCATCCGCTGAGCCCCGGCCACCCCCGCACAGCTGCTCCAAAAATCACGCTCCTCTGTGACAGACATCCAGATGTCACCTTCCTTCCCCCCCCCCCCCCCCTCCTTCCCCCCTTCCGCTCCTGTTCTTCCTTTCTCCACCCTCCTCGAGGCTCCTGCTCCGGCCCCTCCTGAACAAAGGCCCCGTAGCCATGGTTAATAATCCCCACAGAAAGGCCCTGCGCAAGAGGAGAGGAAGGAGAGAGGAGACACAAAGGAGCCGCTGGGAGCCAAGCCGAGGAAGGGGGCTGGAAGGAGGCGTTTTCCTGAGCTGGAGGACACAGCCCCGAAGAGGGTCCCAGAGGTGAACAGGGACGGGGCAGGGGTACCCTGAAGTGACCTCACGGCACAAAGGGAGCAGAGAACCAAAGGCTGGACAGCCCAGGAGGGTTCCTGTACTTACCCCAGCATGCAAAGCCCTGTGTAAGCCCTAGAGCCCCCCAAAATGAGCAGCAGGGACTGGCAGAAGGTGCCCTGAGGGTGAGGGGAGCAATGGCAGGGGGGCATGCAGAGCTCCTGGGCGGTGTGGGAACGCTCGGCGCTGGCCCACATCCCATCCCTTCCCCGGGGAGCGGGGCCTCTCGCGGCCTGACGGCGTTGTGTGAAGAGGTGCAGGCCTGGCTGGACACAGCCAGAGCCTTCCACCCTGCACAGCTGCCCTCCATCCGCCCTGGAGACCTGCAGGGAGCAGGGCCAGCCCTCAGCCTGTGGGCATTGAACCATGCCAGCCCCCAGCCCA